ATTTAAAACTTCCTTTATTACTTCAGGTCTTACAGGCCTGAGGAGTTCATGGCTATATGAAGAGGGTATCATGCGCTTTTTAGGCCACATTTCCCTTGAACACGAATACAGTGCAATGCCTCTGGCTAAAGAACAATTGTGAACGGAAGTACAACGTGGCATGTATTTCTTACCCTAGGATAGGAATTCCTTTGGATTTTGGGTTTTTTTTTGTTCTCATGCAAGTACTTGATTTGGAATAGTCACAGGCAAATTCAGGACAGAGATTCACTGTACGGGAAACTTCAGAAAATCTAATGTGAGAAGCTATCAGTGAAGTGGAATTAATGTTTCTTTGGACAAGCAGCATTTCCCGTAATCTCAGTTTTCTGTGAATAACACTAGTACTTTGTAAGATCCCTAGCCTTTTGTGAGACAGGGTACATTTGTCAGTGAGGAGGCAGAAGCCTATTCTGGTTGAGCCGATTCTTATGGTGATAAGGCTCCTTATTAAATCAGTACGGACAAACTGTATGCGAACAGCTCTCCAGTTGTCCCTGTCTCTGGGGAGGAATCATTGCATTTTCTTTCAAATCGCACTGGAAGTAAGTCCTCTGTGCTTTGTAACAAAAAGATAATTCCCTCAAATCATTGGGAACTTTGCCCTTTAAAACTGTTGTTACTCTAGCTGATGCTAAGAAGATCAGTAGGTGTTATTTCTCATTCTGCCTGAAGAAATCTGTGTATAAGCCTTGTAACTCAGCCTGAGGGTTACTAACACTGTAACAGATAAACAATAATTTGGCATTTGGGGCATGATAACAAAACAGTTTTTTCACTTTAAATGTTTAAAAAGAAAAAGGGAAAAATATGCAGTCCTTAAAGAATGAGAACCAAATTTAGAGACTGAGATTACTTATATACAGTGATACTAGACTTACTGTATCAGATCTCTCCCATGAATAGTTTCTTTAATGTATGATGCTTTTGTTTTTCCTTTAAGGAAGCATTAGGAGACATTGTTTACTGTAGTCTTCCAGAAGTTGGGACAAAATTGAATAAACATGGTAAGTTTCAGCTCTAATTTCTAATTAAGTGATTACTCTACTCATCCCACTCTCCCTTTGCAAAGATGAATTTTATGAGGTAGTCCCTATGTTCATTAATACCATTATAAATCTCCTGGATGCAGAATAAATTCAGGTATTTCTACAAGAGACAGCTTTAATTTCAACATCTCACTGTCAGACCACGCGTGGTAGCAGAAAATACCTGCTTATTAAACTGTGAAGACATTTATTTAAAAATCAAACATTTGAAATTTATTTTTTTTAATAATTTTATCTATACTCTGTTTTTAAAATATTTATGCTTTGATTTGGACTTGCTAGTGTTTAGGCTACCTTATTTGTAAGTCTGCAGTTATGCGTTTCATGAGTTGCATGATGTGAAACATCTAATTGATGTCAAGCTCTTAATTTTTCTATGAATATACAGACTCAGTAATTTTGGGGTATCAACTGTAATCATAGGGTTTTGCTCATTAGTGACATACAAATTGTTACATTCTTAATGATTAAGTTCTGTAATTGTCCATGTTCGAGAAGAGTGAGCATTAATAGGTAGAAAGGAAAAGCCTTTACGTGGAGAGCTGTCTCGCTAGTGTATGAAGAGAAGATTGTCATTAGCTTCAGATGTTGCAGAACAAGAATGTAGATTTACTGAGGTAAAGTAGCAGGCCTTTCTTTTGCCATCCTTCTTGTGGAATAGATCCATATCGAACTGTTTTGGCCAAATTATTACATCGCTTTGAATGGTGAATGTTAGACAAAAGTTGTCTTTCTCTTTAGGGTTTTAATTAACCAACTTGTAGTTTTGTTTTATCTGAAGGAATTTCATTTCCGTTTAGTTCTCTTCTTTTCTACCCGTTCTGGCCTTAGTCTAATTCCAGGCTTTCCCAGAACATGTTGTTCTCTGATTCCTTGTGCTGATGCCTATCTACTCTTCTGACAGCTCCGTGTTCCCCCAGCCTCTGTCCTGTTTGCTTGTGGCTTAGAGTTACTCTGGACTAACATTGCTCCAGGCACCATTTCCTTGAGCGGCTGGGTGATTCCACTGTGGTGCTTCTGAATACTAATGTGTGTTTTCCAGTGAGTGCAAATGTTAACTTGAAGAAAAACTGGGATTCCTGAAATTGTAGCTGTGTCTATTTTGTAACCAAATTATGTATAAAAAGGTATAAATTGTAGATAGAAGGCATATTTAGGTCTCTTGCAGCAAGAGCTGGATGTGGTTCTGTCTAACCCTTTATCGTATCATATACTGTAGGGCTTTAGCCAAAGGATTAGCCAAATGTAAGAAATTTCCATCCCTTCTGTAGCAGCCAGCTAGCTAGTGTTATGCAAGTTCCCCGGAAGAATTCAGGAGCATAAAAATCAAATTTAATACTGCTGATCATGGTCATAAAGTTGGTGACTTCCATCTCTGACAGTTTTCCTTGCTCGAGAACAAGACACTTTTCAGTGGCTAGGCCATCACCAGAATGTCTGACTAAAAAAACCTACAGCACTTTGTATATTCTTCTTAAAAGCGTTCAATCATATTCTGTGTTTCAGATGAGTTTGGAGCTTTGGAAAGTGTGAAAGCTGCTAGTGAACTCTACTGTCCTTTCTCAGGAGAAGTGACTGAGATTAATGCTGCCCTGGCAGATAATCCAGGGCTTGTCAATAAATCTTGTTATCAAGATGGTAAGATATCATTGTTATCTTTCAGTAATTGAATACCACCTGGACTCTCGCTATCCTATCACACATGGCTCTGCAATTCCTAGTTCTTCCAGTTTAATGGTGTGGAGGCTTAAATGGAATATATTGAATATAGTTCAAGCCCAATAAAATTTAACATGAAAGTCTTATTGCAGTCTTGTCTTTGCTGACGGCTGCTTTACAATGTGTTCTTTTCAGACATAGACTGTGGTCGAATTTAAATCTATTTCCCTTGATTGCATTTCTCTTTTTTGATCTTGTAACAGCTCATGATACTGAGAGATCAGGCTCTTTTACTCTTTCTAGACACTGTCTCCTTAATGCCACTGTCAGAGACAGTACTAAATTAGATAGCTGGTCTGACTCAGAAGGCCATTTCTTATGACAGGTTGGTTGTTTATTCATTTTTTTTAAAGCATCAAAACATCGTTTTGCCTGCACACGAAGTCCTGTTGATTCTACCTGTGTTACAGGGCTCGTATGCCTACTGGAAGTACTGTTCTGAGGGAGTAACATGAATGAATCTTTCTTGACAGATATTAGCAACTGTTTTTCTTTTTAATTTCCTCGCTACAGGTTGGCTTATCAAGATGACTGCTGAACTTGATGATCTGATGAATGAAGATGCCTATGAGAAATACATAAAATCCATTGAGGACTGAGCTGGAATAATGAAATAAATCCATATAAAATATTTCAGTGTAGTTTGTCATCAGTCATTGAAATAGGGAATATCAAGTTTTGGCAACCTGAAAAATACTGCTTATGATCACATATACAAGGCTGTAAATAATTGCAGTGATAAAAATGTTAACATCTACATACCAGATGTTAACATCTACATACCTGCAAGGTTTTTTTACCCTAGATTGTCTGATTTATGTAACTTCAGGATGTTACGTATGATATTTTGGGAAGCAAAATTTATTTGCCAAAATATATACTTCTGAAGATTCATTTGACAATCGAATTCAGTAACAACAGCCTTAATACGGTAATTCTGTTGCAGGCACGTGACTCTTCCCGTAAACTGGACTAAGCTGTCCCTGAAATACTTTTCTATTGCTCCCAAGATATTGAAAAGCAGTGCCTCCCTAACTTCCTAGTGTTTTTCCTGATGATAGTTGTGAAGATACTAAAAAAGGAGAAGCCTTTTTGCATGATTTGAGAAGCCTCAACTACCTCTTTGCATGATTTTTACTTCATTACAGAATTTACTAATCCTTTATGTTTTCCTTCTTCATTTTACTATCAAATAGTTCTGCCTTTGAGGCCGAAGGGTATGGTCCTTGTCTTCTGACTTGTATGCTTTCTTAGTACGCAAAACTCATGCCATGATAGTTTATCAAGGTTCTCGAGTGGATTGTTTAGGCTGTGTGTTTTGTCTGGTAAACACTCCCTATGTCGAGTAATTAAGGAATTCTACATCCTGTGCCTAGCAGTTGTGGTGATTTCAGAAGAGTAGATACTTTTGAAGACTGTGTGATCAGTAATAGTTTGACATATAATGCATCCATGTGTCTCTGTCTTTAAGATCAAGTAGGCACGCTGCTGTAATGACTTCACAGGAATGAAGCTAAAACTTCCACTTTGCAAACCAGTAAAGTAAAGCAGCTGATTCCATTAGATTTCATATTTAATGACTCCACAAATGTGCACTCAAAGTTGATGCGACATCTGCGGGTAAGGTTGAGTTGTACAGACCTGCACGTCAGGAAAACATAATAGTACAGCAGAGTTTTGGTCTAAAACTTTTTTCCACAATTTTAAAATAGTGATTAGAAGCTAAGCACAAAACAGGAACGAAACCCAAGTATCTGTAAGTTGACCTAAGAGGAACCAGGGGAACGTTTAGTCCACGTAAGATGACAAAGGCAAAATTCATCTTCCTTTGGAAGTTACTTTCAAAAGCACAGCCCTTGTAAAGGGCAGAAATACACTGCAGGTTATACAGAAACCTTTCCGCTGTATAAAAACGTAGGTCTTTCTTTTAAGATCTGAAGGGATGTCAAAGTAATTGGTGGGTTTCTTTTAAATCCTAGGAGCTAACTCTTCCTACACGAGTCACAGATAAACTCCACTGTGTACTTAAGATAAAACTCTTTTCTCCACAGGAGTTAAACTGCAAAGTGACTGAGAGGCAAGAGCGGGTTTGGCTGTTGCACCGGAGTCCTAACCCGGCAGGGGCCGATAAACAAAAGGCTCCAGTAAACCTAGTGCCAACGCTTCACAAACTGTCAGTGCTTACCCGTTACGCACGGTATCATGCAGTATTTATTGTCACAACATTCAGGGCCCAGAGAGCCGGGAGCTTGAGCCTGGCCTCTTACGGGCTCCCTGCGTCAGTTTGGGTCTTCCACCTCCCTCTGCACTT